CTGTGTGAACCATGATTTGCTACTAATACAGGAACACTGGTTATTACAAGAACAATTATCATTGTTTGAAACTAAGATAAAGTGTATACGAGTACATGGTGTGTCCGGTATGGACAGTAACCGACTGTTATGTGGTCGTCCTTTTGGAGGATGTGCAATCCTATGGAAATCTGGACTTTTGTGTAACTTTAAACCAATAGTATCTGAGTCTAGAAGAGTGTGTGCCGTGATGATAGAAATGGGATACATGAAAGTGTTATTGTGTAACGTGTATATGCCTTGTTCTAATTCTAATGAACATGAATTTGACGATACTTTAAATGAAATAGGAAAACTTATATATGAATCAGATACGGATTATATTGTAGTGGGTGGAGACTTTAATACAGACTTATCTAGAACAACCTCGTATCACACAATCCGTCTGAAGGCGCTTTGTTCATCACATACACTGGACTTTGCTCAAAAACATGATAATTCTAATGTTGAATATGCTTTTGAAAGTAAAATAAATGGGGATAAGAGTAGTCTAGATTACTTCCTCTTTTCTGAGAATCTAGGAACTAATCTTATAGAATTCATCTCTATCCACGATGGAGATAATATGTCGGATCATTCTATTAGCTTAAACTTAAGCATACAGCTAGAATGCTGTCAGTTAGACCCTTTAAGTAAAACCGAGATTCTCAAGTGGCAGGAGGCATCTAGTGATCAAATTTCTAAATATAAAGATACACTTAATAATTTATTACAAAATGTGTATACACATTGGAAGGAGAATAATTCTCCTCGCTCTGGTCAGCTCGCAGAAATCAGGTGTCGTACTCGAGCACGATATCATTATGCTTCCCCCCCCCCTCCAAATATTATGTTTTCGGGCAAAAAATCCCCAAAATCGGGCAAAATATCATTAAAATTCGGGCAATAAGTCGATCTGCCCCCCTGTTGTGTCGTGGGCCCCTACGGCTATGGTGTAAATGCTTTTATATTTGAGCTGTTGGGGATTCAGCGGAGATATTTGGTTGAAGGGGGATGAAATGATTGGACAATATATTTTAGGAAGTTTACTAAAGCATTTTTCTAATGCAGAATACAATGAAATTGATAATTTATAATGAAAATTTTAAACAATATGTTATATAACAGAATATCTGTATCTGTTAAAAAGCAAACACTTTGACAAATACATGAAACCTAACACAATATAATGACATCAGAATATATTTATATTCACTACAAAATACAGTATTGAAAAATAAAAACATTAAGAAACATCACCAGGGCTTGCCAGGCAAGGTAACATACGCCCACTGGCAACTGTCGGAAATGATCATTTATAACGATAATACAAATTTTATTAAATTAAAAGAATAAAAAGTCAAGGGCAATAACTCATAAACTGTTCATCGAAAATGCATCAAGTTAGAACTTGTTCAGGATCTTATCTATTACAATGATCACACCAAGTTTCATCAGAATGGGTTTAAATTGTAGCTTC